TTTCAACCTGGTTGAGTCTCATCAGCAGCGCGCGAATCCTAGCTTTCTAGATCACGCTTCATTTGCTTTATACACGACGAAATCACCCTCGACATATTTATCCATTAAGAGTGTTGAGAGATTCAGTTATTTGAATTACCTTGTCAGCCTCTTTCCAATGTTTATGTTTGCACTATACAAGAATTCTTTGATTCAGATAAATAAAGAATAAATAGAAAATTGATAATACCAGTATCATGTTCGTGAGTCATTTAACAACTGACGTACTATCTAAACAGTGCCACAGAGTAAATTTCGAATAGAACAAGGTTGTTTTCGGTGATTTGTAGTCATGCCAAATACATCACAACACATATCAAGCTGATAGTTTTGGCAGATTTGAAGTTATCATGTCGATTGTGAAAGTTCAGTAGCCTCGGTGGGATTCGAACCCACGCATGGACGCCGCCAACGTTTTGTACGCGCACGGTCTACCAGCTGAGCTACGAGACCGCACCGATAGCACTGATCTTTTGGGGGATGCCATATGCCTCTGTAAGTTGGACGGGTAATTCTAATGTGAAAATGGCAGTGCCCAGCGCTTTGTGGCGTCCCAAACCTGAAATTTTCTTCCTCTACTCGCGAATCTGATGGGACAGACCGTGGGACTTATGGAAGAATGGCTATGAGCTCCTGACGTTGTTGGCTGGCTAAACTGTACTTCAAAGTGTTCCGCATAGTGTGCAAGACGTCACTATTGATAGTGAATATGCGAGCCATCAGCTCCACAGGTGGTTTCACTCGGTCCCAGAGTTTTCCTACCCGTGGCCCGGATGAGATGAAACAGGTTACAGAATCTTCCCGTTGGGGAAGCACGTTGAGACCGGATTTGAAACTGAAACACGCTTTTCCCGTCGTACATGTAAAGGAAAGGTAATATAGCAACAATGCATGGTTTCTATCCTGAAGGATTTCTCAGTCTGAGCTTAATTTAATCCAGCTATACTGGTTGTGACAACTTATCACGGTCAAAGAGTTTTTATTTATTCGACCATTACCATGCAGTTTCGTGTGCCACTTTTGGCTGTCCATTCGGACGAGGGGGTAAAAACATTATTTGCAGGTTAAAAGTAGAGTCGAAGAGAAAGTGGAGAATTCCGAAAGACTATATTTGCAAAGATGAAAAGTGTTGCGCATTTGGGAAACCCGCAGCAGCACATGAACTCTTTAATGCACACTAATGTGTGATCGAATTTGTGGGTTGACCCAGCACGATCCGTAATCTTGTATACAAACCCCGCCATTTGTAGCTTTCGGCGATGAGGTCNACGCCACGTGGCACACGGACAATCGGATTGAAGTTAGTACTGACGCAGAACAAGCGATAATCAGAACGTATAGCTGACAGTCGTTCCCGTTTTCCAAGTGGCAACAACCTAGTGTGAAAAGACCTCCCAGAAAAACCTCTCTCGAAGTAAACCGACCTAGTCTAACATTCACAGCCCTTAGTAAAATCCCGATATTAGCCTGGTCTACTTTATGTAGGAGGTCAAGTAGTTTGGGATAAAATATATTTCCAACTAAATCTGAGTTACAGTTCGTGGTAACATGCGCCGCAAAAGTCGCTTCTACAGGGCAACGACTGCTTACTGAAACCTCTACATCTAACTGGGTAGCACCATTTGGGATCCAATAAGGCAGTGCCCTCTCATTGAGAAATACGCCAGGGCAGGTAAGATCGGAAGTTATCGGCTCCGGGTCGACAGAAAGGTAAGAGAAACTGAACGGACCGATTCGATGAGGATGACGGAGCTGAGGTCTTCAATCCAAGGCACCTACATACAACACACAAAGATGTCTAGGGTATCGAGAGTGGCAACTAAACACGGTCGTCGTCCTATGCACAGCAGAATATGCACGTTAAACGTGACCAGGTTGAAAGTCAATTGAAGATGAATAATAGTTGGTAGAGGACTCCATGAGACAAGAATGATAGCCCAGGTAGGACGAGAGAAAACAGCGGCGGGATACACATGAGGGACTACAATAAGCACAACCGTCTAGAATTATCGATGGAAATGAGCAAGAATGAAATGAAATAATAGGAAGGTGTGTGATGTGGAACGGTTAGATTTAAAGTTGAATGAAGAGGAAATGGCGAATTATGTTGTGGACTGTTTTACTATTCGGACGTCCAGTTCGGAGGTCTGCGCAACCGGGTGCGGAACAAAAGAAGACGGTGTTGTTTTAGATGAATCCAGGGTCAGCGACTTGGCCTCATCAGCAGTGCGACTTCATCATCTAATCAAATCAAATTCTTAATTTCTCTCAAATGTCCATATTGAGTGGGGAGGGGTTATCCGCTGTCCGCAGACAAGTATGGTGTTTTGTGCGGAAAGTCATAGGAAAACTCATCAAATCCTCGAGCACTGCGGCACTACTGATTGTCTGCCACAGCTTACACAGTGAGCCTATCCTCGTGCAACTATGGTGGTACTGATTTGCTCCCACATGGTAAACTGGCTGATCTGAAGAATGCAGACGACACTGTGCTACAAAATGAGGATCCAAATAAGCTGCAAGCTTTGCTGAATAGTTTGAGTGAGTGTAGTCATTTTAGATAAGCATTTTGCGCCTTCCAAGTGTAAGATGCTGCTAAAAGATTGGGTTGGTCCAGCACGCACTCACTGGAGACGTAGTAGAGGAAAAAGATAAGTTTTACTATCGGGGCAACTGTACCTCACCTGACGGACGCGTCACAGATGAACTTTCGGCACTGATACAGAAGGCTCGGTTGGCATGTGACAAATTGAAACATCCGTAGCGCCGTCGCGACATTCGGATGTCTGTGAAGAGTCGGTTATATACTGCAGAAGTTACGCCAGTGCCGCTATACGGTGCATGGACTTGGCCATTAGGGAAACAGGATAGAAATAGACTGTCGGTGTTCAAACACTGCTGTCTACGCAGCAATGCAAGAGTGGTGAGGTAACCGGACGAGCGATGCTGAGGTTAGGCGTAGGGTTTTAGGGAATTGCGGATGCCCACTGCGGCAAGTGGTCGACCTCCACATATTACGCTGGATGGGGCACGTGTTGCGTATTTCACCAAATAGGTTGCCACGGCGCGCGATGTTCGCCGAGGCATGCAGTGGATGAATAAAGTCAAGGGCAGTCAAACTAAGACCTGGCATGAGGGTATGAAAATCCTAACCATAAGAGACTGGGTCACATTGGTCGCGTTACACTTCCTGGATGGGGACACCGAGATTATGGTATCCGGTGGTTAGAGACACTGACTGAGTGTCGTAAACAGTGGCACTCGTGCATCTACTCAATATCCTTGTGACCCTAATCTATATGAATTCTTTATCTTCCTCTATAATCTGCTCTCAACATTTCAACCTTCACTCTGCCCTCTTAAGCAACCGAAACCGACGCATAAAAGTGCATGGGTAACGATTGTAGAAATTGAACTGAACTGACCTGTGACCGATTTTACCCATTGCTAGCCGTGAATCGACAGTCGTTTCCCTTTCCGCGACCTCGGAATGCGCTGGGTAAAGCACAGCTCTATGCTTTCGGAATAATGAAACACAGAACCTGTATTTTTGTAGCTAGTTCGATTTCGAATGATTCGTGCCATAAGAGTTAGATGACAAATTGAAACCAATTCTGAGCGGATAACAGTGTTGATGTAAACGAGTCAGGAAGGCCGGTAATGACCATAGTGAATCGGAAGCAGCTTCTTTCGTTTTTTTGGTTACACTCCTAAGTGTGGTGAAAAGCAGGCGGGGCGAACACCATAGTTCGAAGGGCCTGCTGTTTAGAGGTGGAAACCGACACCTTAAGCCCCGGGACTTGAAGTGGCGAACCACATAAGGTCCCGATAAGTTATTCATAGTATTGAACCGGACGACAGCAGAGCTGCCTACCACCAAAGTCGGGTGGCGGTGGTAGGTATCGAGCCTCGAACCATAGAGTCTAAAGCACACCGGTGACAGTGTCTAAACCACTGCGCCACCACCACAAAAATATTCTCCCACGGGGAATCGAAAAACTGATTCCTGGGACGTAATCACTCCCACACATTGGCAGGCTGTCTCCAAGCTGATCGAGAAAATGAATGAAATTGGTGAGATAAATTCAAAGACCTCACTCCATTTAGGGACTGTTGTTCGTTTTCCAGCAATGAAAGGAAGTAAACGGTCACGAACTTATCGGATATGCGCATACCCACCACTCCCTTCATTACGCTTCGAATAAGGTAGATTTCAATGACTGGCACCGAGTATGATCTGAATTTATTGAATACCAACAATAAATCGTAAAATTAAAATTTTCGGAGGAAATGACCACATGGTTAGCTACAAAGTTGATAAAGCTGCAATCCTTTCATCGAGAGACGCAATGTTTTTCGGACTATGGAGATCTGTACGGGAAATAGAAATCAGTGAAAAGTGGAATGAGGAATGCTGTGGTCGATCCGATTAAAAGTGAACGCAATGAAAGCATCAAGTAAAAAATAGAGAGATAGTTGTCATCTGATAGAGCATGCAAAGACATTGAAGCCGTGACGGAGTACAAAGAAATTTTCAATA